GAATAGCTGGATCATGTATTGGGTGCCACGTAATAAAAATAGCATTCATTAAATGTATTTATGTGTTATATTTAAATGTGTAAAGTAAGGAAAGAAACGTTTAAGTTAAGCCTGATGTTGCATAAAGAATTAAAAAACAATGTAAAGACATCCCACATATTTACTTTGTACTCTTGATCAAGTTTTATCAATAGAAACATCTTCTCTGGGATTGTAAGTATCCATGTTTGTCTCTGTTATTTTCTCCTTTTTGACCTTGTTTTGGAAATCTGACATTGATACGAAACAGAATAGATGGACATTTCAATTGACATTTGACAATGATTGTCTTTTTTTAGAGGTTGATTTTTACTTGAATTTAATTGAATGCTGTCATATAAAATGAAATCACTCCTTATGTAACACATACATGCTGCTTTTCATTATGTGTTCCATCTGTTTGTGTGCATGTGGAAGACTTGCAAAGCCTCAACCATCTCGCTGACTATAAAATGATGCTGGCTCCATGTAACCTTCTATTTATAGCTTGACAGATTGTGTATAATGGTAAGATATTTGTGAGAACAACCGGGAATCACCTCACCGGGGAGGTAACACACACACACGCAAACAGACACACACACACACACACACAAACAGGTACACACAGACACACAGGTAAATTCATGCTGGCATTGTCATGGAAAATGTTTGTCACAGAGTCCAGGCCTGGTGCCATTTGGCTGGATTTGACTAGAAAAAACGAAAAAAGTCGGCAACCAGCGGATCAGTGGATGAACAGAAACACAGACAATGTGCCAGAAAACATGTTGCAATTTGGTTGACCAAATGTTTATTCTTTGTTGGAGCCAGATACAAAATAAATTCCCACATCTAATGAATAATTCAACTGAATCTAATGGAAGTGGGCAATGCAACACATGGATACAAATATACACTTTTTCCTGTTGGAATATAAATGGCATCACAATGGCAATTACACAAGGCTCATATCCTGTCACACTGAGTTTGACTCTAGTATCATTTAGGTTGTGGGATTAACTGTGGTTTGCTACCTTTGTCCCAATTGGAAGGTGTGGCAGCGGTCCTGAGCCTCCTGCCAGAATCTTCTTTTTGACTCCTGGATGGTTCAGCAGGAATGTGTCCTCCATTGTCACTGCCTCGAGCACTACCAGACAGAAAAGTGTGTTTTGGAGATTTATTTTCTTCCTCTCTCGATCTGTCTTCTCCTGGCTTGCTAATTAGCCTTGTGGAGAGAGTCTTGGCCGGTTAGCTGCTCTCTGACAGATGGTGGGATTAGGCAGGGTTTGGAGGCGGACACTTTAATCTGAGGAGCTAATCTCTTGGCTACCCTTGCGATTGGTGGGCAATCCCTTCAGGAAGGAGCAGGAGAGGCTGATAATGGCCTATACGAGAAAGGCCCAGATCACTCTCGAACAAGTTAAAATCATTCTGGAAGAAAAGTAGTGTGTCACTAATGGTTTAGTGACACAGCTGTCTAGCTCATACCTCACACAGGAGAGTGTACAGGAAGTAGCACTAAAACTAGGCCTGCAAACATAACTAATACTGTTGGACAATTGATTATCCCAGAAATTATTGCAGTAAATGATATCATTGTCATTTAAAGCCCATTTCATGCCACTGATAAAGTGAGATAACAACATAATAAGAATGTGAGTAAACCATTTCAAATAGCAATACACTTTTATTTCTTTAGAATATTCAGTCTGTGATCACGTATCAAATTGTAGTAAATTATAACATTGCAATTTAGAGCCCATTTCATGCCACCAGTAACATAGTATAACAACAACATAATGTGAGTTAACCCTTTTCAATAGCAATCCACGAATATTCAGTCAGTGGAATGGGATAAACATATAAAATACCCTAATTAAAAACATTAATAATAAAACACACAACTAACACAATACATATAACTCTCAGGCTCTGTAAACAAAAATGTGCAATGTCTTTTATCACAGTCTTATAATGGTGGGGTAAACCCTGCTGTTTAGTCTGGTGTCATGGTGTCTGAAATGTTGGTGCCTTTTTTGGTGAACAAGCATGCATGTAAACAGGTCTCTTTAAAAGGAAAAAGTACCACTAGTCTATCCTTCTTACAATAAGTTGATATTGAAATCATCATGGCAGGTTTTGGCTTATTTTTGTCAATTTATGATAACAACACAAATAAGCCCTCAATCATTTGAGACTTGAAATGTTTTGGCATTTTTGACGTGACATGAGCAATTCATAGAGTGCAGATCAGTGTTCTGTTTACCTCTAAATGCAGCTCTGAAGAGGAAGCACTTTAATATGTGACAATGTAAGGTTGGATCCATTCCTACTATCAGAAATGGTTTTGAGTAATTATCATTTTCGGGCGGTGGTGGCGAAGTCGATAGGGACTTGGCTTGGCAACTGGAAGGTCACCAGTTCAAGTCCCGGCAAGACCAAGTGCTACCGAGGTGTCCCTGAGCAAGGCACCGTTCCCCACACTGCTCCCCGGGCGCCGTTCAAAATGGCAGCACACTGCTCCTAACACTAGGATGGGTCAAATGCAGAGAAACAATTTCCCCACGGGGATTAATAAAAGTCCATTATTTCATTGCACTTCATTTGCTAAAGTTAAGCAGCTCTTTAGCTTAATTAGGGCCAATTATGACTCCAGTCAGCCCTGTCTCCTGATTGGTTAAAAGGTCAAACATGCTGCCTGTGTTTACTAGATGTAGTTGATGTCATGGAGACTGGAGAGTGCACTCATCTGTTAACCTGCTGAACCTGCTTACCGTGCTTATTATGCATGGGTAATATCTTTCTTGAAATCATTTTTCATTTTGCAATTGAAGAAAGCCATACAGACCTGTGCCTTAAATAAACTCGATGTTTAATACCACATGTACTATATGGTTCGATACTAGTTTAAGGGTTTAAGAGTTGATTTCTGAGAAACAGTAACTAATGTATAAAACTTAAATGATTGAGCAGTAACAAAGATAAAAACGACAGTGCCAGTCAGCTCGATGTTAACCTAGTTTAAAGACACAGTGAAATTAAAAATACATTCCCCAGGATCTAATTATGATGTTCATTCATCTCCTAACATGCATATTTGAGTGTTTCTGTATCAAAACTCCTCATTTTTTCCTTCTTGTAAAATGTAGAATATATTTAATGACACATCTTGAACTCTTGACAGCGTTACACATATTTCACCGATTAAATGTTATCTGGGCGAAAGTCATACTCAACAGTTAGTGACAGTGACGTGCGGTGAGGTTCATGGCTGGTGAGGCACTGACTCTTTCAGAGTCAGATTTACAAATATTATATTCTGACTTTAATCGAAATATTCTGTTATTTTCAAAAGCTTTTTTGGTCTGATGTTTCGATTCATTTTAAACAGACCGTTCAACAAAAGGATACCCACAATCTAAATATTGGATTGTTCTTTCTTAGTAAGATCCCATTTTCATTACCAATGTTGTCTTACCTTGACTTGAAGATGAAGTCCATGCTATCCTTCTGGACAACAATCTCTATTACTTTTTTGTAAAATACCTCCTTATCTTCCTCTAGTTTCAAAAGTCTAGTTTGTTGTTTGCGTCTGGTCTACCGTCACTGCGTAGAATAACAGTAGCAACAAGGACCTGTGGGCTCACTTGCGCCCCCTTCAGTGCGGCAGAGGTTATTGTTTCAGTCTGCAGCTTTATTCCGTAACTCACAACTCCATCACATGTATATTCCCGCGCTTGCGGATATAGTACATCACAGTGTAAGCCTGTGTCAGCATGCAGTTTACTAAAGCGCCAACAGGCGTCACTATATAGCAGGCATTAACAGATGCCCATATCTGTAACATCTCCTTTCCTTTAGCTGTAAACAACATCAGCATGTCACTTTAAAGTGCAGGTAAGAGCTACATTGTGTAAAGCTAACACTTTAACATTGTCAACCTCCAATACATGAAAACAATTACAATACTGATTAACCATGCAAGTATCGATACAAAACTATAATAATATCCAACAATTCTTTTTTTTTTTCTTAACAGTCCAACAGACTTAGTGACAATGTTCCCAGTTGTATCACAGGTTCAGTCTCTGCGGCGGCCGTAACAGGCGACCACACCGCGAGTATACAGCTTGGCTCTCTGTACTCACTGGCTTCCCTGGTGTCAAACCCCGCCCTTGCGCCGGGACCCCTGGAGAGTGAGGAGGCTCCCCCAAACCTGTGTCATCCTGGACCGGGTCGGTTCGAGCTCCACCTGCAGCCCTCTCTGCGTTGACATGGCCCCGGTCCGTGTGGCTGCTCTGCTCCGGCCCTACCAGCTGTCGCATCCGGGCTGAGTGCTCCGCAACCCGCAGATCCACCCGATTTCTCCTGTAGAGCGTGCCGTCCACCTCCACTACGAATGAGCGAGGAGCGACTTTCTGGAGGCATTGACCCAGTTGCCAACGGCCTGTGCGATCTCCTGGAAGAGGCCTCATCCTTATGTGTTCCCCAACATTCAGTTCTGGTAAGTCCCTTGCCGATATGTCGTAGGCGGATTTTGCAAGCCGCCGTTTCAACCGCAGCTTCTCCGTCACTCCCGTCACTAACCACGGTTGCAGCAAGCTGTCCGCAACCGGCAGCGAAGTCTTCAGCCTTCGTGACATTAAGCGTTGGGCTGGACTGCTGTCCAACCCCTCTGTGGGCGTGTTGCGCCAATGGAGAATGGCCTGCCATTTATCCGTGCCATCCAACTTTGCCCGCTTGCAGAGTGATTTCACTATCTTGACAGCTGACTCAGCTTTGCCGTTTGATTTTGGATATCTGGGTGAGGATGTGACATGGTTAAATCCCCACTTTGCAGCAAACTTCCTGAACTGTTCACAGGCGAACTGTGGGCCATTATCTGTGAGCACTTTGTCTGGCTGTCCGTAGCGTGCAAATTGAGATTTACAGCGTGTGATGAGAGTGTCAGCTGATAGATCCGGCAGAAGATCAATCTCCTAGAAGTCTGAATAGTGGTCCACTAGGACGATGAAATCTTGGCCAGCGTAAGAGAAGATATCCATACTCACTGTTTGCCATGGACGTGTTGGGATATCATGCGACATCAATGATTCCTTCTGCTGGGCTCGTGCATATTCATTGCATGCAGAGCAGTTCGACACATAGTCTTTTATCTCTGTTCTCATGTTTGGCCAGAACAGCGTATCCCTGGCGCGCCTGTAACATGCCTCCCCCCCGATGTGGCTGGTGTGTATGCGTCTTAACAACTCTTCCCTCAAGGCCTTAGGGATAACAACGCACTGCCCTCTGTATAGCACACTGTTTTGCACGTTGAGCTCATCCCTGAAGGGCCAGTATTCTCGCACCAAGAGGGGGGTGTCCTCTTTGAAATCAGGCCATCCCCTGAGGATTACTGATGTCAAAGCTTGTAATACATCGTCCATCTCTGTGTGCTGGGCAATTTGGCGAAACCTGAAGTCAGTAACATCCAGATGCTGTGCCTGATCCAGCTCTGAGTCCTCCACCTGAAAGCTGTCCATGGAACACACCGCCTGTCGTACATAGGGGGTGTCGGAACCACGATACGGTGGAGTGGCCCTGCTTAGAGTGTCACTGACATACATCTCCGTGCCTGGTTTGTAAACAACATCCAGATTGTACCCCTGGAGCTGCAGTAACATGCCCTGAAGGCGTTTAGGCGCACTCATGAGGGGCTTCTTAAAGATGGTGATCAGTGGTTTGTGGTCTGTTTCTGCAGTGATTGTGTCCCTGCCGTATAGGTACTGGTGAAATCTCTGGCATGCTCTGGCTATGCTTAAACACTCTTTCTCTATTTGAGCGTAGTTTTGCTCAGTCCGTGTCAGTGCGCGTGAGGCAAAGGCTACGGGCTGCCCCTTTTGCAGCAAGCAGCACCCCAGTCCATTCATGCTGGCATCACTCTGGATCGTTACAGGCTTTGTGACGTCATAATATTTGAGAACCGGCGTGTTGGTGACCATCCGCTTTATCTCGCGTATTGCATCATCGTGTTTTGGCAGCCAGTGCCATGCTGTGTCCTTATCCAGGAGTCTGCGAAGAGGCTCACAGATCTCCGATAGCCCTGGCAGGAACTTAGCCAGATATGTCACAAACCCGATCATGCGTTGCACTGCCTTAGCATCCGTGGGCGTCGGCATGTCCAACACTGCTTGAGGTTTCTCTGGGTCGATTTTCAGTCCTTCTGTAGACAGTACATGGCCGTGGAAATGTACAGCTTTGAGCTTGAACTGCAGCTTGCGTTCACTCAATCTGAGCTTCACAGCCCTGCACCGTTGCATGAGAGCTCTTAAGTTGGTGTTGTGGTCCTCTTCAGCCTCTGCGTCCGTATCGCCACACCCGACCACCAGGATGTCATCCGCAATAGGCTCGATGCCAGCCAGGCCTGATAGCAGCTCATGTTGCTTGCGCTGATAGATCTCTGGCGCCACTGAGACTCCAAACGGGAGTTTGAGCCATCTCATCCGACCCCATGGGGTCCAGAATGTCGTCAAGCGGCTGCTTTCCTCATCAAGCTTGCACTGGAGAAAGGCGTCACGAGCATCAACCAGTGTGAAGACACGAGCCTTGGGCAGTTTGTACAAGACGTCTTCTAGCGTTGGCATGTGGTAATGGGACCTGAGAAGTGCCTGATTGAGAGGCTTTGGGTCAATGCAGATTCTTATCTTGTCTGGTTTAGCTACTGTCACCATGTTGCTTATCCACGCTGTTGGCTCTGTCACTGGCGTAAGGTTGCCTGCTTTCACATGTTTGTCCAGCTCTTCCTTAACCCGGGCTTTTAGCGCTACAGGGACATTTCGTGGTGAGCACTGGACTGGTGTCACTTCAGGGTTCAGATCGAAATGAATATTACCTGGGACTGACTCGATCGGGTCATGGAAAACATCATGAAAGTCTTTCAGTAGCATTTCTTTTGTGAGTGGCATAGACTGGCTTGCATCAATTGTGTTCACCTCCGCTGGCAGTAGTTCTCTTGGAATAGTGAATTTCACAAGGCCCAGATCAGTGCATGCAGCACCACCGAGCAGGGGCTTTTGTTTGGTGTTCACTATCTCAAACACAAGTCTGTGTATTTTCCCCCTGACCACACAGTCAGTGTGAAATTTCCCCAGGGATGGCATGTATGTATCAGAGTACAGCTTTAGCCTTGTTCTGGTCGGCTGTAAGGCTGTCTTTGGTGACAGTTTCTCTTTAAACTGGCGGCCCATAACATTGCAAGTGGCCCCTGTATCTAGCTGGCATAGCTGTCTTTTCTTATTCAGGTGTAGGTGTACAAACCATTTGCGTCCAGGTGCTTTCACATTCCCCACATATTCAGTGACATTGTATAGGTTTTCACTTGTATCCGAGTCCCCTTCAGTTTGCTGTACATCCTCAACAACATTAACTTTTCTTGTTTTCTCTGCTCTGCTGCTGGCCTGACATACTTTTGCAAAGTGATTTGAAACGCCACATGCTCGGCAGGTCTTACCATAGGCTGGGCACTGCTCTCTGCCCCGTTTGTGTCCATTTCCACAGTATTTGCAGGTCCACTGCTGCTCTCTCTCAGCCGCTGTGTTTCTTTCAGCTGTTTTCCACTGTATTTTGCGTCGTCCGCCTTGCCTGTCCACCATAGAATTAATACTGTCCACCTGTGCCTGCGGACTCTCAATAAGCCTCATGCGTGACTCCGTCAATTCTGCAAGGCGGCAAATCTCCACAGCTGTTGGCAGCGTTAGGTCCCGTTCACGCAGCAGTCTCCGTCTGGTGCTCTCGCTGGCAATACCGAGTACCAGCCTGTCCCTAATCAGTTCATCTTTTAGGTCACGGTACTCACATGATGATGCTTTTTCCCTCAGCTTTGTTATAAAGCTATCGATCGGCTCGTCCGGTCCTTGTTTGCAGCATCCAAACGTGTATCTCTCATAAATCACATTTTTTGCCGCCTTGAAATAATCCCCCAACGCATCCAAGATTGTTTTGGGGTCTTTCTTTTGTTCCTCGGTCAGCGTGACGTTGGGCATATATATATGCCGGCACTCGTTCGTTCCCCATAAACCGTCTCAGCTTGGCTGCCTGCACCGCATTCGTTTTTTCGGTCAGACCTGTAGCGAGCATAAATTCCTCAAATTCTGCTCTAAAAACCTCCCAGTTTTTGGCTATATCACCAGACATATGCATGCCCTCGGGTGCCGGAATACTGTTTATCGTCATGACGTGAGTTTTCTTGAGCTTTTAGTCCAAGAAGACCACTTCTGACACCATGTTTCAGTCTGCAGCTTTATTCCGTAACTCACAACTCCATCACATGTATATTCCCGCGCTTGCGGATATAGTACATCACAGTGTAAGCCTGTGTCAGCATGCAGTTTACTAAAGCGCCAACAGGCGTCACTATATAGCAGGCATTAACAGATGCCCATATCTGTAACAGTTATGGCTGCCTCCCCTGGTGCTTTTTTCATTGCCGTTGTATGATGAGAGTAGACCAGCGAGCTTAAATATCATATATACGTGAAATAAGTTATTTAGAGACTATGGATGGCGAGGATAAATGTAATAAAGGGATCTATCTACAAACATTACATTGGTGACCTACAGTGAGATGGTAACAGGCATGCGCTTAGGGCCTGCTATCCAGACAGTTTCTGTGAGGTGACGCATTTTAAGGTGAGGCAGAGCTCATCTGTGCCTCACCTCACCACACAGGCTGCTTCTCAGGTCGATTAAATGAAATCCTTGCTTCCCTCACTTGCGTCGTTTCCCTGCGTCTAGTCCCTCCCACCAGGGAAGCATGGAGGGACGCAAGGAAACCACGAGAAGCAGGGAAATTAGTTTTAAGAGCAATGGGACGTCCTTTCCTCCGGAGCGTCACGTGAAGCGACGTCCGTTTGTGATGACGCTGCACAGCTGATCGTCTGACAGCAGCTCTGTCCCCGTTATTTCCCCCCCGCCTCTGTTAGTACACATTTACTGACACAAACATTAGTATAATCTGTTGTAGACCCCAATAAATAAAATAAAATAAGAACTAATTCTCAAAAAAGATAAACGCCATTCTTAACATTTATAAACGAACAATAGTTTGATTAAATGTATTAGAGTGCACAATATAAATAAAATAATTGAGAAGAAAAAGAGATATGTTATCTATCAAAACCCAGTTAGATTAACATTCATTGGATTGCACACTTTGTGTGTTTGTGTGGATATGTAGCATATTAACATTTTAATAGCACTTAATGACTGACTGAATGGAAATGACAATAAATGAAAATGTAAAACGAAAAAAGCGATCATGAAAATGTTTCCAAAAAATGAATTAAATGATTTTTTACCACTTTGTTGTTCAGATATATCACATATTTGTAACTAAATGATACATGAATTGAAACAAAACACGGTATAAACTGAGGAGTGACTCCCGTGAGGTTCATGTATTTTCTTCACTCTGCTCTCATGTCAAGAAGCATCAGATCAGTGCATGCACTGCCTCGTCCAATCAGTGAGCGATACACAGTAAGGGGGCGGGGTGAGTATCTGAGGATTTCATCGGAGGATGGTCTGGTGGTTCCTCGGTTATCGCTCCTCCATGATCGCTCCTCGCTCCTCGCTCCTCGATCCTCGGTCCTCCGGCAGAAATAAGAGCCATGGGACGGTACTCAAGATGGCGCAGGCAAATGAAAATAGTCGACCTGAGAAGCAGCCACAGTAACTGGCTTGGGCGCGCTCACAAAATAAGTGCCCGCGCTAAATTAGTGCCCGCGCTCCAGCAAATTACTGTGGGCTTACGTGAGGCAGAGCTCGTCCCTGCCTCACTTCTCATCGCTACCCGTAGTTGTAGCGGAGCTCGGCAAATTTGCTGATTTTGACGATTGGAATCATACATAAATCACATTTACAACACAGATCAGTGGAGACATTTTATTATTATTACTATTTAGTTTTTCTTTAGTTGTTTTTCCGTTACATTGTAGTATGGCCAGTCTATGAGTATGACAGGTGAGGCTCTGCCTCCCCTGACTGCACGTCGCTGGTTAGTGAGCATGGACAGCTTATAGAGAGACCTATAAGAAGGTCAGGGTTTGCGTAATAGCTTATTAGACCTGTGAATATTAATAATTTGGTTAAGGTCTTATGTATTAATCAAACCCTTTCCGGATTCCTCCAGGTCTAACAAGGCAGGGGATGGAGGCCTGCGTGGAGGAGCGCCATATCAATCAATCAAAGGTTCTCATTAACATCCCTTTAGGCAAAGTAACTAAAACACCATCTATCACTGTCTTTATCACTTAAAGGTTTCATCCACCTTCAGAAAAGGATCTTTATGCCCAACATCAAACTGCCAAAATGTGTGAATTTGAGCCGGAATGCATACAAAAAAGTTTCAAATTCACTTTGTATCACTGTCATTTATTCTTCATACATGTGGTGAAATACATAAAAGTTAAGTTTAAGATGGAAAAACAAATATTTTTACAGCTGAAACCAATCAAATACTCACATCATACAGTCATAAACAACACACTGTGTCAACCTGATACAAATATTGACTTAATACAGAAAACGTATGCTGTATGCGTACTGCAAGGGAATGACACAGCAAGTAAGCTAATAAAGACTCCCTCCTCCCTGATGAAGACTATTCTCCTCTTCCTCTTCGTGTGTGAGGCTGAAAGACGACAGGAGGCTGCCCCCTGGTGGTCACTTCTCTATCAGAGAGTCCAGCTGCTCCTGCAGGGAGGCCAGCTGTTGGAGCAGAAAACAGAAGAGTTGATTGATGCCCCCCAGCCCCGGGTTGTAATGGGAGGGTAAGTGGATGATGATTAACATGTCTTTTCACATTCATTTGCTGCCTTCATTTGTCAATACAAACAACAACCCCAGACAGTGGGTGGCCACTACGCCAAAGCTTCAGAAAGAACTCCGCTGGAAGCCGCTGACAAATGGTATTACACGTGGTTGAATTTGAACTTTGCTATCAGGCGCGAAAAACTGCTGGCTCTAAAAAAAGACAGCCAGCACAATGCCATCTGCAAACATGATATTTGACATTCATACAATGTCAATTCATGCAAAGTGCTGAAAGCTGTAGAGAGCTCACAGCGAGGTGCTGATACTCGGAAAAAGGTTTCTTACCTGCTCCATCTCCCGCTCCTCCTGCAGAATAATCTCATCCAACAAAGCTTGGAAGCGGTTCTGTGAGAGGAGAGAGACAAACATGATTTGTTTAGAGTGGACATGCTGAGCCTCATTCAATTGTGATGGCTTTAAATCTGTGTCTGCCTGGTCTGCTCATGTCACCATCTCCTCCCTGACAGAGAGGATACTTGGAATGCAAGTCAGACGGCTGACCTTTTCCCTGCGATAACCGCTGGAGACGAGGCTCCCAAAACACCGGTCAATAAGAGCTCTAAATGGCAATGACAAAATGGCCATGTCTGCTCATGGTCCACTTATTGTACAGTCTCCACTAAAGAGTGCTTGGCAAAACAGTTCATTTTAATGCCATTATATTTTCATGGAAATGCTTATATAGTTAAAGGGCAGATGGGAGAAATGTTATATTTATGTCGTTAAAAATACAAAAAGAAGAGATAATTGCCTCCAATACTTTGTTTAATCAGCTGTTTCTCTTTTTGTGTTTTTTCAAATCCCTGTTGAGACTTACAGAGCATGAAGACTTATGCCTCCAAGCTCATCTGCATGTTCTTGTTTAGGTTTCTGTATATGCAGACCTAGTTTCCGCATTAGTTGGATAGGAGGTGGAGGTGGGTGTGTGGGTGTGTGTGTGTGTGTGTGTGTGTTCACGGCTTACTTTGAGGGCCTGGTTCTCCACTTTCATGATGAGCTCCTCTTGCTGTTTCTTTCGGGCGCGGGTGTCCTGCAGCTTCCCCTTGACGCTGTTGATCTGCACCTGATACTCCATAACTGCAGGGAAACGGCAGGAGGTTAACACGTTAACACGTTAACACTGACACTCCGGCAACATGTCATTCAGGCTGAGGCTCGTTCTTTTGCAGAGAAAATAAATAAGAGGAGCTGGAGAGAGATGATGTGAAATCATTTGAAAGCAGCGCTACGCTCACAAAGCTATGAGGATAATATATGCGCCTCTGCTTGTTGAACTACAAGGATGCTTCCAATTCGTTTGACAAATTGCGGTTAATGGGAACAACAAATCCATTTAAAAGGACGTGAGCCAGCAGGCCGAAGCACTAAAAGACACAACTAAATCAGTCTGCTGCGGGCTCCACAGAGGGTTCTCATTAAACCCAGCCAAAGTGATATTGCCTCACAATAACAACAACAACCTGTAGCTCCATCACCATCAACTATCTTTCAAACTAATTGTGTCTATCCTGCTTCCCCACACTACTGACTCCCTCCCCTAATACAGCCCATCTGATATGCAAATTCAAGCAGAGGGGGAAGTCCTTGAAAACCTATTTATTGCAACTTTGCTGGGCTGCCAGAAGCGTACACAGCCAGACTCCGGCACATCAGGAGCTGACTGACAGCTTCATGTATGTAGAGCAGGAGGCATGGAGCTGTCAGGCCGGACAGCTATCTGAGTCTCACGCTGAGCAACAACACCTGTCAGACTGGTTAGTGTAGGAGTGTGTGCATCTCTGTGGGCGAGGGCACAGCACATGCTTTAAAGTGAAAGTAAGGCTTCTCATGAGTGCGCGTTTTAAAAGTCTGACCCAGAAAACTCAGCTCTGATCAAGTCCAGACACCTCGTAAAGTTTATTTTTTACTGACTAGGATCTGAGGGGGTTTGAGTTGACTCCATGTCCGACTGTTTCTAGTCTACGAGACAGTTCTGAAATCAAAGTTCTTAGCTGCGACTGCACCACTAAAATATGAATGAATGAAGAGTGTAACTTGGTAAGCTGGAAGAACAAGAGATCCCACTGAGGTTTCATACAACCTGCAAGTTCTTTATGAACTATTGCGTCATTTTAGCTCTCGTTCTAGTTATGGACACACAAACTCTTTCTAGAAAAACGTACAGATGCTCACATGCTCAATCTTTTTGAATATAAACATATGGACATACATCTAAGTTATGATATATGTGACCCGCTCTATCGAAATCAGTCGGAAGCCGAAACGGCTCATTTCAAAATAAACGTGGATTTGCGTAAAAAACTATTTTTTCGGAGTTCGGGTGTTTTGTTTGATTTTAAACAAACAAAGTCTTGGCTTTCAGAATATGACACTTTATTTCCAAA